CTCCGTTTGCAGCTCAGACTGGCCTAGAGGCCGGCGACGAGTGCTTGGAGAAGCGCGTCTTCTATCGTGTCATCTCCGGCATGCACGCGAGCATCAGCACCCACCTCTGCTGGGATTTCCTCAACCAGACCACGGGTGAATGGCAGCCCAATGTGGCATGCTACCGCGGTCGCCTTCACACCCACCCTGAGCGAATTAGCAACCTCTACTTCAACTACGCCCTCGTCACCCGCGCCGTCGCCAAGCTTGGTCCCTACCTCCAGGGCCGCGACTACACCTTCTGTTCGGGCGACATCGACCAGGATGCCGCGACGCGATCAAAGGTCCTCGAGGTCACTGAAGGAGCGGCCAGCGTGCCTCAGATCTTTGACGAGAGCCTCATGTTTAAGAACGGTGAGGGCCCGTCGCTGAAGGAGGACTTCCGCAACCGTTTCCGCAATGTCAGCCGTGTCATGGACTGCGTCGGCTGCGACAAGTGCCGCCTCTGGGGCAAGCTGCAGACCAATGGCTACGGAACCGCACTCAAGGTCCTCTTCGAGTTCGACAATGCTAGCGAGGATATTCCCGTCCTCAAGCGCACCGAGCTGGTGGCCCTGTTCAACACGTACGCCCGGATCAGCAGCTCTCTCGCGGCCATTAACAAATTCCGCGCGATGGTTGATTCCGAGGAGGCCCTCGCCGCTGCTGCGGCAGCTAAGGCTTCCAGCCCGATTCCCGACCGGGCCAAGAAGCCGCACAACGTGGTGACTTCACCAGACGCCGAGCCCAAAAAGGTCGATCCCGAGGAGGATTACGGCGAGGACGAGCCTGTAGAGGAAGACACCCTGGCGGACATGTTTGACGAAGAGTTTGGCCGCATTTACAAGGCCTTCAAGTTTGTAATACGCCGGTGGGTTCAGGCTCCCAAGACTATGTAAGTTTGAACACATCACCACAGACCGAAAACTTTGGGGGAAAGAAGACTAACAACTGTCAAACAGCTTCAATGTTGTTCTTTTCGAGATACTGCGATTCTACCAGTACTTTGTCGGCCTGCCCCTCACACCTAGAACCTGGCACTTTGAGCGCCCGATCGTAGACGAGTTGTAGATTGGTCAGTCGCTCATTGTTTAGTTTTGGCTGTTGAACATCTTAGCATGGCATATCATTTAAAGTACTTTGCATGGCCGGGCGCGGGCAAATGGCGTTTCTTGATTCTTATTTTTACGGAGCTAGAATGCTCCTTAGACTAGGTAGTACCGTGACCTGTCTGTATATACACATCGATGCCAGCACCCCAAAAATCGGCTTCCGTTTCTTGGTATCATACAAATGTTTCTGAATGCCTTACTACTGATACACGCCGTCCTCAGTGATGCTGTTCCTTCTCTTTTGGGACGAGTTACTCAAAGGGATGTGAGTGACAACGTTGCCAATCTTGGCCTTGACACCCGAAACATCAATCTGCCACTTTCGAATGTCACGGAACTGCGGCGTCTTCAGTAGGCCGTAGGTCCGCAAACACGCGTCTTCTTCGGGGAGCCCAAACGTCCATCCGATGCTCACATGGAACGCATCGTCAACTAGCTCAGTCGCGTGGGCTTGGTACAAGGGCGGATGGTCGAAACGGACGGCGACTACGTTGCATTTGTTGAGCAGGGTGCGGAGCTGCGGGTTACTGCCGGTGGTGGTGTCACTTTGCGATGAGGCGGCTGGGCATGCTACGCGGAGTACGAGAAAGGCCCGATCCGAATCTGGTGATTTGAAGAAGCCTAGGCCACGAGGCGATAGACTGAACTTGCCGGTGGTGGAAGACAAAGAAGACGTCAAGGAGGAGAGGAAGGCGTCTTTTTGAGTCGTGGTCAGGGACAGAGGCCGCGAGAGCGAGATGTGGAGTGGCAGGGGGGCGTTGAGGTCCGAAGTTAGAAGCGAGGTCAGCTCCCGTGTGCCAAGCAAAGGAGTGATTTCGTCCAGCAGAGCAGTGAGGAGAGAATGCTGGTCCGCAGAGGGATGCCCTACATGCAGAGATTAGTCGGTAATATCTCAAGTGGGTGTGGCAGCGAGAGAATGGAATGGGTGAGACTCACACTCAACGTATACGTGAGAAGGCCAGTTGCCGACAATATGGGGAATGGTCCTCTTTCGGCCCTGGTGCAGGGCTGGGTTGTCGGCAGTGGCATTTCGGACCGTAGAAGCGTACAGGTCATGGAACTCGGCCGGAAGGGGCGGAAGCGTCAGTGTGCCGCCATTGTTCTCCTTCGTGGTCGACGAGGCGGGAGGGTTGTGCAGCGTTCTTTTTTGGCCACCGGCGCCGGCGCCAGGTGCAGGGCCGGCTGGCACGGAGCCGTGGGTATCTTCTCTGCGCCGCTTGGCCGGAGGTGACCCGGCCTCTGAAGCTGAGTCAGATGACGAGTAGTCCACAAGAGCCATTGTCGGGACCGACAAGAAGAAGACCGGAGAGAAGATCCCTTGGATGCGTGTTTCGGCGTCAGTGACGAGGTAATTGAGCCAATAGGCGTTGAGCAAGCCCGGTGCTCTAGATCTAACACCTCGTCGCCTGAAAGCGTCTAATGGTGGTTGGAAAAGGTGGTAATACAGGACGGAGGCAGTTGGTGCCCGTAGGTGGAAGAGGATGAAGCGGGCACCGGCCGCAGCGGTTTGCCTGTTTTGAGAAGCACCATGCGGCCGAAGCTTTGTTGCAAGATCTCGATCGAGGTGCGCCCAGGCACGCAACGCAGAGCAGCGCCTTTCCACTCACGGGCGCCAGACATCCGGGCTACAGAAAGGCTTTCCTTGCCTCACAATATGTTCACGAGTTCGGGATGTTCTTTTAGCATAGTGTCTGGCAAGACTTTGATCGCGAGTCTACCACTGCCATAAGTTCGGCATAAGGTTGTGCAAATGAGAGCCCCATTGCTCGATGTTTCTCTTGGCCTGTAAAGAAATGCCGACGACCATAATTTCAAGCTCATTGCTTTTAGTTGCTGGCGGTGAAGGCCGTTCCCGGTTGGGCGACGTGTTCCCTCAAGGTGTCGCGGGCAAGCATTGCCCTGACAAGAGGGGCGATGGGACGTGGACCGGACCCTTCCCGTATGACCCCGTTATGCGGCCTGGGTATGCCGCGAGTCCCTTGTGTGATGAGTGCTGACAGAGTGGAAGCAGCGGAGGCGGATGGAGCGTACGTGGACGCTTCGGCCACGGAGGCTCCGTTATATCACCGTCCCTTTGTTCAAATTAGTTGCCGGTGTCGGTGCCGTTTAGGTCCAAATGTCCGCGCATTCCGATTCTATTTTTGCGCAGCACTATCCATTCTATCCATTAGTTTTTGAACACGCGACTGTCACATCAGCCCTGCAACAGTTACGGGATACCAGTAAGCTAAAGGCTACATGGTGTACAGAGTACGGAGTAGAAGCTAGGTAGATTGGCGGAAAGGTGAAGTGGGATGTTGCGGTTGCCGATCCCCTGACTAGAGGATTTTTTACTTTGCCAATGGCATGACGTAGGGCTCAGTAACCAATGCGATGTCCGACTAGACGTCGTTCAAGGGTCCGCGTGTCCCGTTATCGGGTGCCTGTGGCTGAGCTAAGTCAATTTAGCGGGCAAATGTTTCGTTTCTTCTCGTGTCTTGCCCTACCTATTCGTGCTCCTCGAGGATGCCGTTGCAAGACCCTGCAGGGATCGTGACAGTCTGAGCGGAGCCGCTGAGGGGAAGAGGAGAAGATGGAACCGCACGTGAGAGATGTCGGAGAGGCTGGGGGACAGTCGTGGTTCGGTGCCGATCTCGTGATGCTGAATCAAGGGAGACTGCGCAGTTCTTGATCAGCGAACATGTCGAGGTGAAGTTGGCGATGGGTGTTGACATTCTTTCTTCAACCTGTTCAGGAAGGAAGACAAGATAATGCAAGGTACCGCAGCAAGTATCGTACGAGGGAGAGCCTCCAATCATTTGGTACAATTCTCCTGGACAGTGACTTCCCATCTTTCGAGAAAATTGCCCAACACTGCAAATGGAAGCACCCTCGGACGGTACCTATGTAAGGCAGGAAGCAGGTTCCCCGCCGTCTCGCGTACCTGCCCACACCATTCAGTCATGCGGACTCGGTCCAGTCCCTTTCTTTCCCCTCCATCCCTTCCCCTCCTTCCCACCAGACTCGAAAGTTCCCAAGTCCAGGTCCTTGTCACTGCAGCCACAAATCACAAAAAACACCACAAACGAGGTCGCTACCTTATGCAGTAAGGCATGTACACTTGTACAAGTCACCAATGGAAAGCTCGGCTGCCCCAGTCAGCGCAGGTCCCATGATGGTCACTTCCCATGCTGGCATCTTCCCGGAAGTCCAAGCAATAAGCGCAGAATTCTCTGCGCTTGCTGCATTCGCACACTGAACACACTCACTTGCTCACACTTACCTACCTTACCTTGCTGTGTACATAGTAAGGTACGACTACTTGTACTCCGTAGTCTCACTCACATGCAGCCGACCTGCCTTACAAGGACGGGGTCTACAAGCTCAAGGTAGGAACGGGCCTGGACTGGCTGTGCCTGTCGTCGGCATCTCGCCCACCCTCATGCTCATGCTCATGACTCTATTGCCCCTCGCCTGGCAAGCTCCTTACTTCTTTCCCACCAAACGGAACAATGGACGACGCTGGAAACTATCAAAAGGGCACTCGCGCCTACTTTGGTGCGCCCCGGATTTCCACGTCCTCTCAACTCTCGTCTCTTGTCTGCATTGCATTGCTTCGCTTTGCATCTCGCATGCTTCTTTTTTGACACAACACTTCAACTGTCCCACTACCATCTGCAAAATCACCTTCGGTGTGCCGCATACACCGTGTACACCGAGATCACTTCATTGTCTTGGCAAAGGACGGACTCGCTTTCGGATCATTCGAAATAAACATCGCAATCTCCAGTAAACGAGCTGCCGACCTATTTCGAGGCTTCCGCTAGACCACTTGCTCGTCTCTATCCCTACCTTGACTCCGTCTTCGCGACTTCGCCTGTGCACCGGGTTACCCGATTACCTCACCGTAAGGATACACATCCATTCACCGGTATTGTCGCATCGACGTCAGTAGCCATGGACGGATCCGACAAGCAGTGGGTAAGTCAATGGCCTGGCCAATTTCCAATTCACTTCTATATACCCTGGCGCACCGCGCACTATTACAAGTGCATGTTGCTGCTGTTGTTAATATTATCTTTTTTGCTCATTTCCCGACTGCGCGCTACTGCCAACATCGTCATCGCCCACGGTTCTTTTTCTGTTCTCGCTTTTCTCCACATTTCCGATCCCGTCACCATCGCATCTGCGGCCTTATCATTGCCCTTCTAGCCCGTGTCCCAACGTTCCAAATTCCGTCACTCCCGGTCACCCAAGCAAGTCTCGGCCCAACCAGTCACCTTGTTCAAGTGTCGTCAGCCTTGGTCGAAGCCGATCGTCCCGTCTCGCCCATCCTTTCTATCCTGTCAGGGCACCCGACGGCCCCAGCTGCTTGCGCCCGAACTTGTTCTTCAAAGCCACCCTCTCCGTCCAAGCTACCCCTGCCAACTTAGATGTGCTGGTCGCTAAGGTACGGACGGGTCCCCTGCAATGCACGGCTCAAGCCACCCCGACCACGCTGCTCTAGAGTCCCTTCTTGCGTCACTGCCCATCCAATCTGCCGGATTTCCAAGAACAGCTCCGAACTCTGCCTCACATCATTCGTACTGCAGCTAAGCCCTTGACGACGTAAATAATACGGGTCCCCTCCACATAAGCATGCGCGGCCTCTCGTTGCTCTTAAACTTCCTATCTCCTCATGTTACTTGACCTTGAATCACATTTGTCCTACCATTTCACATCCAACTCATCAATTAACTCAACTATCGTAGGCTAAAGCATATTTGCTCGACCCTCTTACTGCTCCCGAACCAAGCCAAGAAACAGGTCCCGGAAGCTCTTTCATGAACCCCGATCCACTGCTTCGAACTTTCTCGCAGAAGAAGAAAGGCAAAGAACCAGTTCAGAGTAGCGACAAGAGCCAGACCAGCCACAGAGCTCACAGTCGAACCTCATCGTATCCCACTCCGCCTGCATCCGCAAGCCCAACTCGATCCAGCTTTCACTCATCCAATCCGTTTTCACCGACTTATCAACGCGCTTCAGTGTCACTCTCTAGAGGACCTGCTTCTCCAACATCACCATCTTCGTCAGGCCATCCCCCTGGCCGTAGTACCAGTGTTCGAAGCAACGGTCTCCGAAGCCCGTCTTCGCCAAGCAACCGCTTCCCACCAAGCACAAGTGTCACTCGGAGCATCAGCGCACGCACTCGCTCTATCGCTGAGGCAAACGGAACCCAACCCGATTCTTCAGTACAGCGCAGCAAGAGCGTGAACTCACACCAAGGCTCCAGCGGTCTTAGACGTTCCAGTTCCATCAACCAGAGGTTCCCCGGCGACATGTCTCACCGACCTCTAGACATGATCAAGCGCGAGCAGCGCGCCGCAGACCGTGCGCCGCACCTTAGGACACGCAAATATGGTCCCGTGACGGACACCATTGATTCGCTCGACAGTATCGGCGGCGTATACCATCACGGCGGCCCCTATGATGCCACTTTGGCATCCCGCAACCGCAACAAGAGGTATGCGCCCGTTGAGGCTGTGAGAGAGTCCAATATGGAGGCATTGAGGGCTACGCCTCGTGAATACATTCAGGATTCCCTGGACAAGCATGTGCCGTTGCAAGGTACCGGTCTCATTCCCGCCGGTGGCACTGACATGAGCGGCAATGTCATGAACTATGAGGAAGGAGCCGATCTCATGCGTGAGCCCAATAACCAAGGCGGCGCTTACAAAAGATGGGATGGAATTGTAAGTCGACACGAGTTCTGAAAACTTGCAACGTGAGCTTGAGACTAATGAAAACAGCAATACCATCCGGATGATCTCAAGGGGAAGGGAGAGCCTTCTTACACCTACGAGAGAGACCTTAAGGAGAAGAAGCGTATGCGCAAGGCGTCTCTCGGCAACAGCCCCGCAGAATACGAGATGCGCTCCGGCATCAACGCCCAGTCACGTAAGGACAACGGGGCAATGGTACGTCAGCGCAGTGTCAGCAATGCTGCAGACGGAAGACCCGGCCCCTCCGAGTTGCCTCAGGGACATTCCAACAGCGCCGACGTCCATCGACAAAACAGCACCGGCAAGCATTTCGGCGACAGCCTAAAGCGTCGTTTTGGTAGCATCCGTCGCAAGAACCACGCTGCGGCGTAGAGTAGGATTCGATCATTTCCTACCGTATTGTGGCGGCTTTAAGATTTAATGTTTCAACAAACGCCGACTTTCACCAGCATTTCAAATAGTGTCGCTTGCTCCGGCACGTGTACGATTTAGGGGTCTCGTGCCTGAACACAGATGCCTCATGGCGGGAAAATTGTTAGAGCGAAGACAGTGCGCAGTATGCATTTCACTGTCGATGAGCCAAGACGAGATGGAGACGAGTTGGCATCCCATTCTTCCAAAGAGCAAGAGCCTGCAAATGATATACCGCATCATCAAAAGAAGCGGGAGATTCCTTAGTTGAAGTAAATAGTATACCCATTAGTATGATTTTTTTTTAAACATCTTCTACACCACATGTGTCAATCATCGTCCTACATACTGCTGTGCGCGCTGCGATAACATTGTTTCAAAAAGTCTTTGTCGGTCACAGGTATGACGCCTTGAATGAAGTATACTACACGAGCGCTACGCTTTGCTCTATCTTGAATGTTTGCTCATGACCAGAAAAAAACCATCAGCAGCTCCTTGTCTTGTTTTTCGTTCTCGAACCCCCCATTCTGTCTCTCAACAATTCGCCAAATTCCAAATTATCACCTCGTTTTTTTTAGATCTACCTAAAAGAATGGCTGGAAAGATTGTGCTTCTTTAAAAGTAGGCTATCCCGCTCCATCCCAAGACACCTTCCAACTCGCCCCTGACCTCGAGGACGTCGCCATAGCCGCCCTTGCCGGCGACTTCGAATCTTCGCCCGGCGCCGAGCTCGTTCCAGCGGGCGAGGAGCGCGCCGTCCACGATGCTGCGACCCGCGCTGGTGTCGACGCCGGGCGTGCGCGCGTCGAGGGGCTGCAGGCGGTGGGCTTTGGGGTTCGTCGCCGCGGCCTGGGGCACGGCGCCGGCGATGCTGTTGGCCAGGGACGTCAGGCGGCGGTAGGCTTGTTCCCCAAGGGGATTGAGGGAGGCGAGGGCGCCTGTCGGAGAGGCGAGGAGGAGGGTCGTAGGCGGGTTCTTGGAGGCGTTGGCCGGCGACGGGGACGCCGAGGTTCGGGGGAGGGAGAGGGTTGCTGTTGGGTGGTTTGGTGCCGCAGAAAAGGAAGCACGGTTTAGAAGGAGATGGCCCTGGAGTGATTTGGGATCTGTGAATAGTATTAGTTTCTAGGGCCATGGACAGTGAATTAGTGCTCAAGAGTTGGACTTACGCTCCGGATCGAATTGCATCACGTGGATCACACCGTCCTTATCGCAGACGACAATATGCAGCTCGTCGCTGGCAACAACAAAGTCGGCCGTCGAGACCTCGAATTTGCCCGCACTCTTGCCAAATAGCATCATCTTGTACGGCTCCTCGGCATACCCGACGAACCAGACGCCCTTGAAAGCGTCCGTCATGAGACAGTAGCCCGTGCCGCGGACCTCGCGGACCGCCGTCACGTAGCAGTTCATGTCCATGAAGGCGACGGGCAGTAGCGTGCCGTCCTCCTTAAGACCACGCACCATGCACTTTTGTCCCTGGGCAACGAGCATGAGTCCTTGAGAACCGACCTCGCAAATAGCGGTGACCGCGCCGCGGGGGATCTCCTCCTTCGCAACGAGCTTGAGCTTCTTATTTGTCTCCGGGCGGCCGGGTTGCGGAACGACGGGGACAACATCGTAGACGAGGATACGGCCGCGGATGGGTAGGTCCTCGCCGCGGTTGATAGCGGTACCGATGGTGATGAGCATACGGCGCTCCTTGGTTTCTTCGGAGACTTCCAAGTGAAGCGTCTTCATGCACATTGCTACCTCATGCTGCTCGAGCTCTACCGTGTCGATGACGGACCAGGTAGTAGGGCTCATGAGCTTAATGATGCCGCGTTCAGTCCGGGGGTATATGGTCGTGGTTTCCTTGGCCCACTCCTTGTGGTAGTCATCATCCTTTGGCAACTCAAAGGCCTCAGAGACACTACACGCAACGGCGTAGGTCTCCATTGGCGGATGATAGGCAATCAGGCCAACCGCATCTCCCACGGGAATTTTGCGCACAGAAACGCCCAGTTCGGCAAAGTTTGCATCCGCAGGGAGCTGTGTGACTCGCGTTTGGCCCTCGGAGTCAGCGTAAATGAAGCCGCGCTCGCAGCCCTCTGTATGGAATGAGCTCATGCCGCGCACACCAATGCCCTGCAGGCCGACAACCTTCGGACTGCTCTTGGCGGACTTGATGATGAAGGACGGCGAGGCCCCAGGCAAGAAGACGGTGCTGTAACCATTGATGTCGCTGCAGGCCCGGAGTGGAACAAACCGCGGTTGCTCGTTGGCGTCATCGTCGGCAACTTCGACTGGACTCTTGGCAAGAGAAGGATTGTTGAATTTGCGGAAATGAAGAGTCTTGGTCAGACCAACGGATTCGTCCTGTTTCGTGGGACGAAGCGGCTCGTATATAGTGAGATCGTCATTTGCATGACGGAGCTGTTGTTACAAAAAAATTAGCGCAAGCTACCAACTCCTTCAAAGCGAGAAGACTTACGATGAGGTGTGGTGAGGTGGCGGTAGCGTCCCCAAGGTCGGCCATCAAGATTTCAGTCAGCGTCTCTTGGACGGTGCCTCGCCTGACTGCATAGTCTGCAGAGAGGAAAGGAGGGACATAGGTCAAGCCGGCAGCAACGTAGACTGGCTTGGAAAGGTCAGGGAGAGCGTATATCTGTCAGTAGGTTAGCAAAACGTGTCCCGGCTGGATAATGCCTGGTACTCACATAGAGAGCCCCTGCCGCACTCAGCAAGAACATAAAAATGCTGTGGTCTTCTGTCGCGGCCTCATCTTTTGGCCTATGGCCAAAGAGACCGTTCGTGTCTTTATACAGGCATCCGGCAAGCCACTTCGTTGAGAGGATAGTGTCGTCTTCTCTTTCCATCTCCTCCAACTCACAATTGCTGTCGATCTGAGCCACCATAATGCTCGAGTCGTCCCGGATGAGGAGAAGATAAGGGTCAACGATGCTGGCGCTGATCACCCGTGGCTCAGCGCCGGTATCCTCATCGAGCATCGGAAGGATTTGGCTCAGCCCAAGATCTGAATAACGATTAGCGACGGTAGCGAACACCTCAGACAGAGTGCAACACGACTCACCTCCATCGTAGCACCGTACTTCCGATTTGAGAACCTGAATGATCCTCAAATGCTTCCCCATAGTACCCGCCTCCACTGTAAAGCCAGCCGCGGGATCAAATTCAGTCCCTGACAACGCCTCAAAGCCTGCGCCAGTAAGAGCATAAACGTCTGACGTCTCGTATCCATCTAGATCGACCTTGGAAACAATCATAAACTTGTCGTATATAGATGAAGCGTCAAACTCGCTGCCAACTGCGGCATTGGCCCCCTTATCGCCCTGCAAGGACTTTGGAATGGGTTTCTGAACGCACATGGTCCAGAATCCTCTAGCCTCTGGGAACTCGAATTTGCCAATGACCTTCGGCTGGATGTTTTGGTTCATGATAGCAACAGCGCCGGCGTTGCCCTTACCCACCGCACAGGCGAGCTGCAGGTCAGATACGACACCGATTGAGTTCTTCTCTTCCTCGCTATCTGGGACGAACGCTTGTTTGCCCGATACCATATCCTTGATGGGCGCTATGCTCAGCAAGGAATCGTGAATGCGGAAAGTCAAGTCTCCTCCTTTGGAAACCCCATTGGCAGTCGCACCGGGTTGAATCGCTGTTGTCGTCGTTTCGCCATACAGATCGTCGTCATCGTCATCATCCATATCCTCGTCTTCCAGGTCGTACTCGAACGAATCGTCGACCAACCGTGTTTTTTTGCGTGCATTCTGCGTCTGCTTTCGTGTCCAGCCGAGAACAAGTGAGTCACTTCCCGTAGTTCCTAGGAAGAAAACATTCTTGCTAAGCTTCGAGATGGAGGAAACACTGCACTGGACAATATTGCCGCCAACTTCGGCTGGGACAAGCTTGACGCTGACCCCGGAGACTGTGCGTCCGTCAATCTTGAAAGTGATGATGGCCAGTCGTCCGTCGCTCAGGACCATGAGCAACTCCCCATTCTCCGCAGACATGAGTTCAATGTAGCAATTCTCGAGCCGCAAATCCAGATCAGACTGATCTGCAAGAGGGAAGTTTGTGGTTTCCTTGGTGAAGGCATTCACGGCCACACCATTCGGCTTTCCAGACTGATCTATGTGGATCAACTCATTCGTGCCAACGAGTAGAGCGCCACCGACGGGACCTGGCAGGGCGATGACTTTGAAGAGATCCTGGGGAAGGTTGTTGACGGAGAGAATCGCGGTCGAGGCCCTCTGCTGTAAATCGAGCGTGAAGACCTTGTAAGAGAAGTGATCCTTGCGAGGTAGGGTGTGGGAGCGGCGTTGTGTCGAGGATATGATGCCAAAGGTAGGCTCTCTGTACTCATGCAAGAAGGCGAGGTGCACAGGATGAAGGAGACTGGGATCAAGCTGCGGAAGAGGGAGGACGTATGATGTTGAGTATGGTACATCTGCTATGTTGCTAGTTCCATTTGTGGCCGCTGCAGCTGACGGCTCTTTTGCCGGCCGAGGTCCATCCACATCTTCATCCCAGTCATCCATATCTATGTCCTCATCGATTTGCTTGAAGGGTAGAAAGGCGATGTATCTGGGGCCAAACCTGAGGGCGGCGCATCGCGAACCTGGATCGGCAGCAAGATATGTGCGGTAATTGTTCAATGGACCGTCGAATGGCGAGCCCTCCAGTTCTTCTTTCTCGTAGTAGTGGATAGAGATATCCTCGAGTGCGTGTTTCTCGGGATCCCACTGGACCAAGCTCAGCCTGGCAACTCTTGTAGCAATCAGGAGAGCTTCACCCCCTGACTTGGAGTGTTGCAATTTTATTCTTGCCAGTCCCGTCACAATACCAAATATTGGGAATTCGGCGACAAGCACGAGCTTGGTGTTGTTTGATCGGTCGGCGCGAACCAGCATGCCGTCGCCGCCCAGGAAGGAAGACTCGAGGCCGTCATCGTCGTTCAATCGGCGGTCGTAAGGCTCGTCGGCCCTGGAAGCCTGTTGCTCTCGGGTCTGTGATGTGTCGACTTCGGAAGAAATAGTCTTTGTCGAGAAAATCTGCAGTAAAGAGCCCTTTGCGACGACCAGATTATTGCTTTGCGCCGAGGTGAAGGGCAAGCTGAGACTGTACTGCACACCAGTGGGTGGCGTGAGCTCTGTATAGCACTGCATCTTGGCAGCCTCAGTCAATTGCCCCCAAAAGTCTTGCTGTCATTAGTGTATGAGGGCGATGTATAAGATCGTGGGCTTGCAGAAGCGCAAGGCAGGACGTTGTCTGTCGCAAATCAATCGAACAATAAGGTAGCTCCCGTCCTTCCAAGAGCTCTCTAGTCGCGCAAAAGCCCATGAAAGCATGTCACGCATTCTGATTGGTGAGATCTCGGCAGGCGGATCAAAGAAAGAGCCGAACCTCCGGGGCGTCCATTGTTGTTTGCGCAGGTGCTGCCACAGGGCTCCAGCGGTCTAGACCTCAACACTTGCAGCACTCCCCAGTCCCCCGTGCCCCCTATCAGCATTGTGACGCTCAGGTGCAGCACACTAAGGCAGGCAGGCTGGCAGGCTACCTTCCTGCGTAAAGATTGACTGGGAGCTGGGGCCTCGCTAAACCTGTCGCCACAGCAGGAGCTAGCAGCTCAGGCAACTCTGCTGCCCGTGTTACGTCACCCGGCGCAACCTCTTCTGAGGCATGCTAAGCTAGAGCTCTCCAAGCACCGAGGAATTAAGCAGTGAAACAATGACGATGCCCACAGCTCAGCGCCAGCTTTATTGATTCCTCGGAAAACATCAACAAAGGTCTACGGTCCAAATAATCGCCATCGAACGCCGCAACCATACGGCCAAACCACGATTCATCATGGCCAACGCAGGCCTGCTCCAGACCAGTCTCATCTGGGTGGCTTACGCCGCCGCAGTCGTCTTCTGCCTCCTGGCTGCCATCATTACCACCTTCACCTGGCAGACGCCCCGGGAGCGATCCGCTATAGTCAGCATCGTCGCTATTGTCAGTCTAACAGCCCTCCTGGCAACTGTCCTTCTGCTGCCTGTCGACATCGCCCTCATTTCATCCACAACACACGCGTCGCTTGGCGTGAAGAAGGACTGGGCTACCGAGGCGCGAGTTCACGATATCCTTCAAACATTACGCATCGTCTACTACTCCCTCTATAGCTTCGATGCTCTGCTGTGTCTCTTGATCATCCCGTTTGCCTACTTCTGGCATGAGGAATACGATGAGATTGAAGTCGAGGAAGGCCGGTCGTTCGGCAGCCGCCTCATCAGCGCGCTGAAGTACACACTCGTCTTCGTCATTCTGGTCCTGATTCTCTTCTTGGTCGGCTTCTTCGTACCAGCAGCTGGTGATCACAACGGTGCTCACTGGGACCTGGATTACTTCAAGCGCATTCTGGTCCAGAATAACGGTCAAAAGGCGCTTGCCTTTGCTCTTGGACTCCTCGTCACCCTAGGAATTCTGCTGTATGTCGTCTACACAGCAGCTGGACTGGCCCTGCTTCCCATGTCCTTCATCAAGTCTGCGCCGTCAATTTCTGCGCCCCAACTTACCGAAAGCACCGCAACCGCTTTGGAGCAGAACCGGGAGCGCCAGCGCCAGCTTGAGATGCGCAATGCCGGTCGTCCTGAGGGTATGTCGTCCAAGGACAGGCGTGAACTCGAGGCACTGGTTCGCGAGGAGCGCACTTTGACGCGTCGCGAGAGACTAGCAGCCGAGGCCTCCGGAGAAGGTCGCAGCACCATTTACAGATTTTGGCTCAAGGTCTGCGCCGTCTTCCGACCCATCAAACTTCTCGGCGGTATCCTACTGCTCTTGCTTTCCGTCCTGATCTGGGTTTCCATGTTGATCACGGGCATCGACAAGGCAAAGAACTCCTTCTGCAAGGGCAAGTGCGGCTATATCCTGGGTCACATCAACATTTTCCAGCCCATCAACTGGATCTTCATTCAGTCCGCCAAGGCCTTCCCAATTGACTATGTATTGATGGCTCTCCTGGTTCTCTTCTTCTTCAGCAGTTCAATCACGGGCATCGCCACCATCGGCATCCGGTTCTTGTGGGTTCGCATCTTCCAGATTCGCAAGGGACGTACTGCGCCGCAAGCCCTCCTCATTGCGACAGTCATGCTAGCCCTCATTATCCTTGCCATTAACTACACTATCGCAAACATGGTTGCTCCTCAGTACTCCATGTACGGCACTCAGACATACTGCACAGCTCCTCACCACGCTGGCGAGACCCCCGACTGCAAGGACAGGCCGGATTATCTGGTGCAGTGCTCTGAGGCTTTGGATCCCGAGGCCCTCAAGGTCTGCACGCCTTCCATCATGGCCGAGTTCCTCAACCGCATCGCAATCACGTGGCCCTTCTTCGGCCTGGTTGACTTCTGGGCCCAATTTGTCTTCCTTGGTATCTTCCTCATCATTTTCGTTACTGGACTCTTCCGCGCCCCCAAGCTCAACGTGTCCGAGGTTGACGAGGACGCCGAGGAAGATGAAGAGGAGGGATTGCTGGCAAGCACCGGTCGCAGGTTCGGAGCCACGTGGCAGGATATCACGGGACGCACGAAGAAGACCAGTTACGGTACGCAGGAGGGAAACAACGGTGCCGGATCCTCCGAGGCCTAGTTAAGTCGTAGGAATGAATACCCTTGATATCAGAAGTATTGTGCCGACCATATACGGGAAGGGTTGTAAAACAAGCACATTGCATATCATTGACGGTATGGGAAGCGTGGAATTTGTATTGGAACACGACACGGGTCAAGGCACACACACGATGGCGGGAAGGGAAGGGGCTGGGTCGGTAGTCTTTCATTTCGTTTAAGCGACACAGAATGCACAAACATTGTTTACATGTTCTCCTCATGACGCTCCTAGCATGACCCGTCTTTCGCTATCCTTACCCGGCTTGACAAATCGGACGGCCTTGTGCGTCCGGTCGTCAAAGGCCGCCGCCGGACCGACATGCATCTCGTGCCAGCATCTGGTGCAGTAGACGTCCTCGCAGCCCAGGCACTGCAGCGTGACGTCCTCCAGACAGACCGTACACCACGTCGCGGCGTCTTCGTCCGTATAGCCCGTCTTAGACGTCAGACGCTTCTGCTTCACGGAGCGGTCTGCGGGCTGGAAGGTCGGTACGGAGGGGAGACCCATGCCGCCGCCGCCGCCGCCGTCTGACGAGGGTCCCCCGAGACCGCTGAGCGCGGCCATGCGGGCCGCGATGTCGTTGTTAAAGTCTGATGTGGCGTCGTGCTTGGGAGCGCTGGATGGGACGGAGGGAAGCCCTAGGTCGGGGAGGCCACTGTCGCCGCCGCCTTGGGCTTCGTCGTCTGCCTTGGGGGCTGCGATGGTTGAAGGTACAGAGGGGAGGGAGAGCCCCTTGCCGCCGTCACCTCCACCCTGAAGATCTTCCCGCGAAGTATCTTGGCCCTCATCGCCCGACACTGGTGCAATAGGGTCACGCCTAGAGTTGTACTTCGCCTCCTGCAGAGCCTGTGTGAGCAGGTCATTCACCTCGCGGCCCATTTCCCCGCCATCCGAGTCATCATCAGAGTGGTCCTGCCCATTGCCCCGGGATGGGTCGACCGAAGTCTTCGAGAGTTCTTCTAGAAGGGCGTTCACCTTGGCGGACTCATCTTTGGGGTCGGATTGCCACTGCTGCGGCGCACCACCAAAGTCCTCATCGCTGAGCAGATCCTCGAGGGTCTGGTCATCTGTTTGTAGGAGGGGATCGACGTCATCATCCCCCGCTTCTACCGTCGGAGCCGCCGGAGCCGGAGCGGTGGTGGACGACGGCGCGGACGATCTCGAGGACTGATGCTGCTGCTGCGGCTGTGACTGGGGCGGTGCTGTTGCTGCTGATTGTGGTCCGCCCGTGTGGGACCATGCCCGAGATGGGGACGCCGGAGACTGCTGACCGAGACGAGAGCTCGCTGGTGTGGTGACCTTTGCGGACTGCTGGGGCGGTTCCTCGCGCTCGGGTGTGTTTCTCAGAGACCTCAACCGAGCGGCCAGTGCGTCCTCCCTCGAGGGCGGCTTCGCTGGCTCGATGCCCGTGAGGGAGACATTCAGGGCACTTGTAATAGAAAACCTTAGCAAATTGGTTGTCCCGAAGATGCCGGTGGTCTTTTCTTCTTATTTACTTTGATGACCTGTCCAATGACACTCCGGGACTGCCGCCTTTCAGCGCGCTCAAGCGGTCCAGTAGACTCTTGTCGGGGCCGCTCATGTTCAAGGCCTTTTCTGTTTTCCTTCGGACCTTTGGATCTAAATTTGACCGAGACCGAGGGAATAGGTAGGACGCGGGTATAAGGGTAATAAGGAAGGAAGACTTTGATCAGACAAATTGAATCCGAGTAGACGAGACCCCGCATATCGGTGTGATGAGTTGAATCGAATGAGCTTGTATTGATGCGAGGGGGTTTGAGGTGTCCGCCCGATTGGGGAGGCAACAATGATTACTATGCAGGAAGCACGAGGTCGGAAAGGTTCGAGAAAAGTGGCGCAAGGCAACTCGCGAGGCATCCAGGGACGAGAGAATCAATGCTGAAGAATATGGGGCCAAAAGTTCCACCTCAACTGGCTCTGGGGTATCAAGGTCTGGTACTGATAGGCTGCATTGATTGTACTGCTCGTACCAGTATGACCAGCATGACCTTGATGCAACAGTGCCGGTGAGCAAGTCAGATCATGAGAGTGATGGGAAGAGGGTACGATTGCCCGTGATGAGACCTAGTTTCGATAGCAGGCACGTTGGCACACTGAATGACGAAGGTGAGATGAGAGGCGAGCAAGTGCGAGCTGTCCGCTCCGCCAACTGGGGCGGGCGGAATGTGATGCACTGCGTGCACTGCCTCAATCAACCTATTGGAGTCACTGCTGAGCGTGACAACCACAGCATCAAATAAGCTTGAATAAGCGAGATGGCTGGGCACATTGTCATCCCTGGGCTCTTATTAGGCAGAAACTTGTGTTGTGGCGGGTAATGGCTGTGTGCCAAGGTACCTTTCAAGCTTGCTCTTTGGTTGCCAAAGTCCCTGAACTAGTCCTCTAGCATCGCCCGACTTTGCTTAGATGCTCGAGATTCTTGCCCACTAAATTCCCAGTTAGTGATTCGATTTTGTCGATTCCGTATAGAGGCGGCAAGGCGTGGTAGAAAGCAAACGGCGTAAGGAATGATCTATTGAACTAGACAGATGATCGCTCACAGCGGTTCGTGGCGTAGCTTCTTTCCACTTTGCTATAGAGGGAGGCACGGGGGGCTCACTTTTACCCTGTTGGAAATGACCTCGACTGCAAACGGACGGCGGTGTGCGGTGAGCGACTGCGTTTGTCGGTATGATTTTGATATCTTGAAAATTGTGGATGGGTAACCATCACAAACAATGCTTGGTGCCTCGGTGGCGCATGGGGAAACGCCGTCTCCGAAGCTTATGCCAGGGCTCAGGCAACGCCAGCCATGGATTTTCAGAAGGAGGAACAGCCTACGGTAAGATTTACGATGGGAGCGGATCCATAGGAAGGATCGTTCGGCTGTGCCGCAACCTTTTGGCTTTACCAAATGCTTATTGCCTGTCTATCGTGATGTAAATTGAAAAAGGCAAGGGGCAAGCTGATGCTGCCTCCACTGTCTGGAGTTATAAAGATATCCAAGGCTTCCACTTACCCCCTCGTCATCGTTCCTTTCAAGACCTTTGAGAATATCATCTCACCAAAAAAAACCAAAGAGCCTCCTTACCTTACCTTACCAACTTTACCAAGCGACAGGAAACGCCCCTGTTTGCATCATAGACTGCGGCACCCCTACATCCCAAGAAAGACACGCACCGACCCCAATCCTTCTTTCAACGGCCTGACTTCATCGCGCATTCCAACCGCCGCACACACCTAGGAAACTCTTACTGCGCCGATCCTGAAAGTACCTACCTTACCGGTAAACCGAACTTCATCTTTACCCAAATCCTACCGAACACAGCCAAGCAATCAAGAGCGGAAGGAGGACAAGGAAAGCAACCACACAACTTTCAGGGCGTACCAATTCTTCCGGCCATCCGTCATACTCACTCAGTAGTGTGGTGGCAACCAGACCACACAGTCCATTACACATCACATAGCCCATCGTCTGACGGCATATTGGACCAGCCCGAGCATCCCTGCCAGTGTGGATAGACCGTCACACTTCGAATCTCTTGGCACTCTGACACGCCCTGCCCATCACTCTTGAAACGGGAAAGAGACAAAATTCCACTCGCTCCCACTTCCGCCAATTCCTGCAACCTTCTTAAATCTTCCATCTTGCTCATACCAATCTCAATCTTCGGCCTAATTACTTTCGAGTCGCACACGAGACTTGCACGGCTTTATCCGGTATTGTAGATTGGCATTTTTGCAGCGTCGCTTTTCCATCAACGTCGCAAACGCACCGACCTATCTACTCTCCTACCGAATAGTCGGGCCTAGTAAAACACATTCCCACCGAAAGCGAAAATGAGATTAGATCTCGCAGTCGTCGCGCTGACGCTGCTTGCGCCCGCGTGGGCCGCCGCCGTGGAACCCGGTCTCCACGGCTCCGACGTCGCATTCCTCGCCCCCAAATCCGAGCGCGACAACACCCAGCAGGACGAGAAGCTGTGGAAGCGCAAGGGCGGTGGCGGCGGCGGCGGCGGTCGCGGCGGAGGCTCTTCTTCAGGTGGGTCCCGGTCAGGAGGTGGCAGTCGCTCCGGCGGCTCCAAATCCGGCTCTGGTTCTTCAGGATCAAGCTCATCAAAAGGCGGTTCATCAGGTGGCTCAAAAAGTGGTGGCAGCAGTAGTGGTGGTTCCAGGTACAGACCCCCGTCTTCTTCTCCTTCTTCGTCAACTGGACGGTGGAAATGGCCGTCGTCGGGCAGAGGTAGAGGCAGAAGCAGCAGACAGCAGACTAACACGAAATCAAGCACCTCGAGAGGCGGTTCTCGCGATAGCTCTGGCGGATCGACAAGGACGGGAAGCGGCCCGGTCCCAGCATACGGCGGTGGCAGATACTATGGCGGCGGCGCGACGGTCCCTTATTCGGCCGGCGCAAGGAGGGGTAACATGGTGCCGTTCCTGCTCGTCGGTGGTGCTCTGGCCTTCTGGCCCGGTCTCTGGCTGGGCGCGCACATGTATCCCTACAGCCACCCGTACCGGTACTATAACGAGACGGCCCGCCAGAACCAGACGAAGCCGGTGCTGTGCGGTTGCCAAGAGTACCAGCCCTGCGGCTGCGACGAGAACAACAGCACCGAGTACATGAACTCGCTCCTCGGTAACGGCAGCTACGCCGCGCTGAACAAGTCTGTCGTCAACATTGGCGAGTACAACGGCAACGAGACCATTCTCATCAACGGCTCCCTGCCTAATGGCACGACCGCTGCCGGCGGTTCCGACGAGGTTGGCTCCGCTGCCTTCCGTACCGCTGCGGAGACGCTCGGCTTCTGGCCCGTTGTTGTGGTTGTACTCGCTACCGTCTTCGCGGCATAATAGGCACCCGACGTTGGATGTACGACCACGCCTTTGTACACTAATGATGGATGGGTTTACATGCATAAGGGTCGGCTGTATGACTTTTTTTTGAGTTTCTTGGAGTTTTATTTTGGAATGATACCCTGCAAACGACGCTGGAAGAGCCCAATGATTATGGGAATTGGTCCATCGCTGGGGATCGGCAAAATGAACTATTAGTTATTGATGAATGAATCAAATCAAGTATGATATGCTAGCTTGTCGAGACTACGCTGAATGAATATACGCCAGGTGCTACTGACATGCCATCATGGCGTAAACTTATATCCTCGTTGAAAATGATTAACGCCCGACCGTTATGTGATATCGCTTAAGCTTCGGCTTCCGCCTCCCTTTCCGCTCGCCTCCGTTCACACCAAGCACCCAGCTCTCTCCAAATCTTCTCCTTCTCAGCCGGGCGGAGCGAGGCAGCAAGACCGCTCGTGCTAGTAGCAACAAAGACCTTGGCGCCAGCCCACGCCCCAAATGCCTGGATGCTGTCTTCCTTCCCCTCGTCCTGCTCCCGCTTCGCAACGACACCCATGTTCTCGCTCTCGTCCTGCCACCCATACCGAAACTCCTCCTTCTTGATGCCCCTCCCGTGCCTCACCCGCCAGATGCTCTCCCAGATCGACTTGCCCACGATACAGACAACCTCGGGCCTACAGCCCCGAACTTTATCCTCGAGGGCCCCGACGCCCTCGTCCATCTCCGCCTTGGAGAGCTCGGCGCCGTTGCGGCTCGGGCGGGCGACAATGTTGGTGTTGCCCAGCCCGTACAGCGCCGGCAGGTCGCGGTCTTCTGTTGGGGCACAGAGGCGCGGGGTGATGCCCGAGGAGAATAGGAGTTTCCAAAAGAGGTTGGAGGGGTGGGCGTAGACGTGGCCGAGGGCCGCGGTGCGGAGCCCCGGGTTGAGGCCGACGAAGAGGACCAGCAGGTCTGGCGCGAGGATGTCGGTCAGGTGGGGGAGGTGAGCGTAGGTTGAGGGTGGTGCGTAGCCTCCGGCGGCCTTGCGTTTGCGTTTTGGTTTTGTTTTTGTGTTTGAGGTTGGCTCTGGCTTTGGGCTTGGTTCGTTGGAGATGGTGAAGATGTCTTGTGAGTCTTCTTCAGCTTCTTCGGTTTTGAAAGAGATGGATGTTGAAGCGGACTCGGGGGCTTGCAACTTGGCGCGGCTGCCGGCCGTCTGCTTGGTGACTCGGTTCGGGGACGGGACGGGGCCGAGTGGAGTCTGCTTCCGTGGACTACGACGGAGTGGCCGCTGGGAAGAAGGGCTAGGAGATATGGAAATGTTGTCGGCAGTGGTAGTACTGGCGTTATTGGTGTTGAGTGGTTCGCTGGTCGGGGTGAACATGAAATCTTGCATCTGAAGTCGACCCTTGAAGCTCGCAGCCTTGGGTTGAGGCTCCTTGTCAAAAAATGGCGACTCCATAGCTGAAATTTGATTGTCAAGCTTTGAAGTGTCAAAATTTTGGAGAAACGACTTCAGGTATCAGTTTGTATAGCGAGTTGAGCTCCGTTGTAAGGTTCAACCGAGCCGGCCCTCTCGTCAAGAACAACGTCCCAGATATGATATTTGGAGCAAATGATGTACGCCTTTGTACCCCTCCAAGTGTCAAATCTTGCCGTCCTTCGGATATTTGGCTGTCAAATGAAGGGGGACTTGATCACACAGCCTTGAAGATGCGATGACGTGCTGTGATTATTTGAGGTGCAAGATAGGTAGTAGGTATGTTGATGTCGTGAGTGCGCTTCTTGATGTGTTCACTTGCAGCACAACGATTCTATCCCTTGACGTGTCGCGCAAGGTATGATCCGGGGTAAGACGGGTGCCTTGAAGCAACGCAAATACGACACCCCTTCAATGTGATGAACTTTGGGGAAGGTAGTTCGATTTTAACTTTGAGGCAAGGTGAACTAAACGTTGCTTGACAGCTCCTGTCTAAAACCTCGCCACTCTCGGAACTTTTAGTTACGGGAAGGTATAGTAGGTACCTTAATTTGATTAGGGGTCCTACCTTCCTTTGGCGTCACTGGGGCTTCCGGACCCACTCAATCTGATCTACCACAGGTGTTCAACAGCAAGAGCGACTCGCAACGGAGGAACTTTGACTCGACTTTCATGTAGCAGGGCTATAATATACCTCATCAATGAAGCCAGCCGGCAGCCCTCATCACGGACTGACTGGTATTCAATCGGTCGGAGATTCAACGTTTAGGTCAATCAACATGCAAAATCACATCCTTCGGTCCTGTCATCTAAAGTATAGAACAAGCAATGAAGTTGAAGAATGAAAACAAAAGAGAGGAACAAATCAGTGCCCACTGAGCAAAAGCTCACAGGGAAATCAAATGATTTCTGTTTTCCTTGATCACCATTTAAAAAAAAAAAAAGGGGGGGGGGGGATCGCTTTGACGGCTTGAATTCTAAATAGCAATTCCACATCAATTGATCAAGCAAAACGGAAACTCCTCCACATGTGGTATCTATCATGCACCTCCAGACCCGTATATACAATGTATCGCTATGCTCCCAAAGACCATGAACCTCCATTCGACGAGTAGCAACCTCTCCTTTTCTACTCTGACGGCATCGTTGCCCAGTCTACAGGACAATGATGTTATCCACCCTCCGCCCTTGGGTCTCGATGAAGTATTTTCTCCGAACTCCCACACCAAGGGCATTGCCAAATTTCTCGTAAGCCTCCGGTCCACCGCCGCGAATCATCACCATGGCGATGGGGTGCGGCCGTCGCAGCCCCGACGGTGTAACCTGCTCAACGTCCAGATGAGGCTTAATCATCTCATATTCCCATAAGTCAGGGGCACTGAAAACATAGTTGGTCTCGAGCTCCTCCTCGTCGACAATGATAACCAGCTGTAGAGATCGCGGTGAGGGTGTGTAGGAGGGAATGTTGGCAATTTTTTCACTGAACGAGCAGCCCCCACGGCGTAGGACAATAACCTGGTGATTGCGAGGCGCTTCGTCCGGTAGGCGACCATCACATCCGAAGCCTGCTCGATAGACTGTCTGCCAAGAAAGGTTCGGAGGGGTGTCATCGCTCGGGACAGAAGCATCAGGAACATCGGGAAGCGGAACGGCCCCTTTGCCTACTGCCAAAGCACCCATGTAGCTCTCAACATGGAAGTTTGCCTTGGCACCAGCGGGGAGCGGCGCCGGGGTGTTGGTGGGATCAAAGACAGATGTGACAGCGCGTATCATGGACTTGAGCATGGACCTGTAGGCAGTGTTCATACTCTTGCCGGAAGTCTGATCTTCTACGAGCTCAGATTGCGCCTCCTCAGTGAGCTGAACCTGATCGTCAAGGTCACTAATCTCAACCTCCAGCCCTTCGGCGGGTGCAGGTGCACTGGCATTACGCTCTTCCGGCTCCCCGTGCATCATGATGAGCTCGACAAAGCCATTGTACCGAACACGATTAAATAGAGGATCGGAGATGCCTTTCAGGAGGTCTGCGTCAATGTGTACTGGCTCATCTCGTCCCAGCGGCATGTGATTGACCTGGGTGACCCTCCATGTATGATCGTATGCTGAATCGAACGATTCTTCCTGAACGAAGTGGACTTTCAATCCACTCAGGGCAGAGATCCTGACGCCCACAGGTGTCTTGAAGGCAGCAGTATTGGCAAATAGGCTATTGAAGGCGCTCCCAACGCTGCCCTGTTGAATATTTGCCGGAAACTCAATGACTAGCGTAGGCTTGAAAGGCAGGGCGGCACAGGTGCCGTTGTCCGGGATGAGTGTGCGCGGAAGCGTCCAAGGAAAAAAAGTGTGGTTTGCCTTGTATCTTGATATCGAGCCATTGCTACCTTTCCCAGCAGGAACCAACTCAACTCCACTACGGGGATTGGAGATGGTGTGCAGGTTGACGAAACTCGCTGCGTGAAAGACGTCGGGCCGCGCAGCCAGAACAGAACCTGTAAGAGGAACTTGCTTTGGGATAGGGCAGGTATTCGTGAAATTCTCGTCGTAATAGACATCGACACTGCTGTATTGTTTGCGGCGTTCGTGCTTCTTTGTTGGCTTGGTTCTTCTCCGAGGGATGATCAAGGGATGCGCCTCTGTAGTGAAGACATAGGCGGCATCGAGCTTGTTCAACGGGTGGTCTGGGTCGAAGAGCAAATACAGATATTTGGTGGTCTCGCCAAGAAAGAAGCTCTGCATACGGTCCGCCTTCTCTCCTGTGTCGACATTCTGGAGGCCGGACCAACCGCACTTCGTGTAACACAGCCTCTTGATGTCACTAAGGACCATCTCCCCTACGTGCACATACCAGGGATCATTCGTAGCGCGATACAGGTAATAGTTAGACTCAATGAACTCAGGCCGGCCAGGCCACCATCCGATGCCAGAGTCAACTTGTCTCTCACGTACGGACCATCTCTCGGGCAACGCCCCGTAACGGGTCCATAGGGCTGTGTACAGTAGGTTGGCTTCCTCGGCCTCCTCAATCTCACCAGCCATCGCAAGCAGGCCAGGATAGAAGGCTGCTAAGCTGTCAATCCAGCTTGTGAAAGCGTACCCGCGAGTTCGGTGACCAGTCATGTAGTATGGGTGATGCGCGTCATTGTATAGGTGGCGCTTAATAGCTGCGTGCGCATGGTGCCACGCCTCTAGGAAAGCCCCAGCAGAGTTCTCCTCAGGCGTCAAAGGTGTGTCGTGTAATGTATTGGGATCGAGCCACTGCCGGTCAGTGGGTGGCTCTGAGGCGGTGACGTTCGGTAGCTCATGACCAGACAGTAGAATATGGCTTTTCAGTGCATATTCAAAGAAGCTGTCAACGCCAGCACCGATCCCCGAGTCAAAGCTGACCCACTCGCCCTTTTCAGGGTCAATTGCATTACCAACAAGACCAATGTCGCTCTTGGCTTTCCACACTGCCCAAAACGCTCGCTTTGCCAACTGCTCGAACCTTGAGTCGCCTGTGAGCCTACTAAGAACGGTGAATTCTAGGACGAGGCTTCCAGCGCCGGCGCTACACGTATCTGTCTTTTCGTTCGTCGCTCGAGGCGAATCCGGGTCATCGCGAGAGACTTTATGTAGTGGAGAGTTGACGTAGAAAGGTATGCCGTGTCGCAGGTTGACTCTCGGATACGGCAACCCCGTGTTCGTATAGAAAGCAGGCAAGAGTCGCTCTGCAAGGTCCAAAGCTAGTCTGAGAAGCTGCCCATCGTACTTGAAGTTGTTTGGCCATGCTATGGGGTGCAGCTCCAGCGGATCGGAATCCTCGTCTTCATTGAAGGTTTGGCCAGGGTTATAGCCAGGTATAGGCAACTCCCCGATAGCGAACAAGTGCGCGCTCAGCAAGCCACCAACTCCTCTGATGACCGTCTCGAAGACTTGGACTTTGCTGTCCAGATCAAAGCCTCGCGCCCTTCGCCCTTCCCCTGACGGCCCGCGTCTTCCGTCGCCATAGTATTCGACGAAAGCTGCGACGCTCTGCTGGAACTCCTGCAGAGCCCAAACAGCAGTACGTTCATCGGAGGGTGTCCCTGCGAGGATAGCCAGGGTCGAAAGGCTGTCGATGAGGGTAAGGGAGTAGTTGCCGAGAACATCGTTCAAATCGTAATTTCCGGGGTTCGCCGGGTCGCGCGTCAACGGTGTACAGGATATCGGGCGTAACTAGATGCAAGGTCAGTCTGTCCCCAATATCTTGCAGATTCTATGTGTTTGCGTACCTCGTCTTCTGGGAATGCAACGCGCATGTAATTGTCCCAGCCATGGTGGAAGACTTGGGTAGTTGCGTTGCGAAGGTCGGCAAGGTGAGCGTGACTGAGTGCAAACACAACTGTTGGCCATAGAAGACACAGGTAGCCCAGAATGGATGATCGCGATAACATGGTGATGCTATCTCTTGTGGCGTTGGGCAGTGTTCCCATCAATCAGCCGGCTGCCAGCGGCAGATGCCTCTCGATTTATGCGGGACTGAAGTCGAGGTTCGTCATGGAACTTGGGCCATCAAGCAAGTTGTTCTTTGAAAAGTAACATGGATATCACCGAAGAAATACAATATTCGTAGAGAAAATAAGGAAAAATGTTGAATTGAAAAACGTCGCCCGCCCTTGATAGGTCTCGTGTCTGTCGTCGGACATCGACCATCGAAGTGGGATGCGATGTCTGTCATCTTCCTCCCATTGGTGGAGCTGCTGACTCATCATGCCTACAGTCGGTGCGTTGCTGTAGTACTGCACCTCGACTTCTGGCACTTGCCGCACCTTAGTGTATAGTCAGATTGGACGAACGCGTCTTGAGTTAATCGCCGATCAGGCTTCTAGAAGGGGCTGGTAAAGTCGTGATGGTATTCTCTCCCTTCCACAGATCCGGCTAACGGCAACAGAGTTTCGCTCTCAATCGCCGTTCGCATGAGGCACATAATCATTCCGGGTCCTTGAATATGCTCAATCAGCACAGATAGAATACCCGATGATTCCCCGAGAACACAGCAAGAGCAGCTTCGAAAAATGAAGAGCAACATGAACTGCGGTATGAAACGGAAGAGAATGGTCGTACTTGCTGGAAGATCATTGTTGAAACAGCTTACCTTGGGAACTTCCATCCAGGTGGTGGGAAGAATGGATATATGGCAGGAGCTTCGTAAGAGAAGCTCTATCTTGGTCAAGGTTGAGGAGGAAGAATCGCATGTCAGTCCTGAGGTACCTACCTTAAGGCATTTACCTTGGAGGTTGTATGTGCCCCTTATCTTGTTTATCGCAAAATCTTACCTCATCACTCAGAACAAGGTGTGGCCAGTGCACTCGCCGTCGTTCGCGCTAACTGACGGGAAGCTTTTTTTCTTCCAACAACCCCACAGCGCCAAAATCCTCCAAAGTCAACCTCATCGAAGGATGCTTTCTCGAAGCGCTTCTTTTGTTGGGCGACAGGCGC